TATATATATATATATGAGAATAATAAAATGGCTGCAAATAGGAGATAAAAATTATATATAGACTAAATAATTATTTTTATAAATAGGTCATTAGGGTTTCTTAGGTTGCCCTACCGTTTCTTTTTTTAATATACTAGCAATTTAACCCGTGCGATGCACGGGATTAGAATAAATTTAATGCAAATAAATCTATTTATCCAGCAAGTCATAAATCTTTAAAAAAATACTTCAAAAATATTAGTAAATTGTGTGTTTCGATTAATAACCATTTCTCAAGCCTCCGTTCCAAATCTCCAAAAAAATTATTAGAACCAAATCTCCAAACAAATCGGAAATATAATAAATCCAACATATGCAGAAAATAGTGAACTGGAAACAAATGTTGATTATGGGATGGGAGAATATAAGTAATGAATAGTCCAAATTCATTTCAGGTGCATTTGGATTTGGATGGAGGGATTTGGATGAGAGATTCAAATTCATAATAACAAATCCCTTAAATTGTTTGGATTGCGGGATTTGGGGATGAATTTCAAATCCACACTCCTCATTTTTAGTTGATTTTGGAGCAATTGGGGTGGATTTCAAATGATTCTAAATAGGAGTCATTCCAAATTTCTTTCCCAAATCAAACCATCCATCCAAATGGTCACTTATTTATAAATCGTCTAGTAAGAAAATAGATATGCTAATGAGTAATGCCTAAAAATTATAACATTTAAGTAAAGAATAATTAATTCAATGTGTTAATGAACACTTGTTCTTTAAGTTGTTGCAAAACATGATCACTCATAGTTTGTTTATCCTCCAAATTATCGAGTTTTGTAGTATACTGAATTATTTTACATAGAATGAAAATCAAAATTTATTTTCTTGAGCATGATACATCTTCTCAAGATTTACGTGACTAGTTGAACATCATTTGCGTGTTCGTAATAGCACAAAACACTTTATGGTGTTGGTTCGAGAACTTTATATGATACAATAAACTTTAAATTTTACAATAAGAGTATTTTCAATCGAATCGTAAGAACAGAGCTCGACCAGCAGCAAACAACGATCTGCACCCATAAAATTTGAAAATAATTAAGAGTATTTCCAATCGAATCCTAAGAACAGAGCTCTATCAGTAGAAAAGAAACGCGATATGCACAACAGACAAAACAACTTCACAGATATCAAACTATGAAAAGAAGCGCTACTAAATTTGTGAAATTATATTTCATATTATTTCAGAAATCATCTGAAATGCATCGAGGGGGATTGGGTGAAAGCCTAATATATTTTGCAAAGTTGTTGATGAGGATACTACCGCCTAGGGGCTAGAGATCCTACGAACTAGGCGAAGAAAAACGAATCTGAAAGCAACTTGATAGTGATAAAAGTGCACACTTTTATTATCCATCTCTATGATGCGTGTGCACGAATAAAGCTCGTAACGAATTGTGAGGTTGAGACTTTGATCTCTTAATGATTTCTATAGCCCGAATGGGTGGGGTGTTGGAGTTACGTAAACATCCTTGATAGAATTCACCTTGTGAGTGTGGAAGTGGGGCCGCGCTTCCTATGAGAATTATAGGCTATTCTCTAGAGCGCTCACGAGAAATGGGGTAAAGCACATGGCCGTTAACGTGCTGGCTTTAGAAGCTTCGATCGGGACACTTTGAGTATTATGTGTGCAATATGATTCTACGTGCCCCAAGGGTCACTGTTTGAAGGCTAAGTCCACTTTGATTCTAGTACGGGAAACATATTGTACTAAGTGAAAGTTTGAAGGCATTGTCCACTTTCATTATGCATAATATTCCGCAAGAGCTCAAATATTATTATTATACTTATTTTTATTAAAATAGTGGGGGATTGTTGGGATTTTTAATAAAAATAATATTTTATTAAATATTTTCTTTGACCAATTTATGAGGTCATTTAGAGCAATATTTTGAAACCACCAAAGACATTATTTTGTCTCATAAAACCTCAATATTTTCCTTCAATTCTATATTAAATAGAAGTTTTATGGGGGTCATATTTTATAGGTTTTACAAGGGATGAGAGTAAAGAGAAAAAAAAAAAAGAAACACTTTTCTTCTATACTATATACATATATTTATAGCTCTTGTTGTGGGTCGGGTGTAAGCTTCTACTTCACTCGAACGTGCAATTTCGGTGAAGTTATAGCGGAGAGATAGGCTGGGCTGTTGTATCCCATAGGCGACACGATCGGAACCTTTTTGCACCTCATTAGAGAAGGGGTCGTGAAATTCGTCTTAAGAAAGCGACCTAGTCCGCGCCTCACCTTGCCTATCTCCATATTATCGTGGTTTTTATCGCAGCAACTTGTTACCTATAAAATTAGAGAACAAATGGAGTTCAAGCCTCATCAACAAGTTTCGTGATCAATCGTCAAAGTGCAGCCGTGGTTCCAACAATTTAAGACGAATTTTTTGATCCCATGAAGATGAGCTTTGACGATGATCCAAAAGAGCAACCCTTGATGATGAAAAGGGAGATAATTCATTTTTTTATTACTATATGTGTTGACGAAATAAAATTAATGATCTTATTTTTGTTGTAGGTGAATCTATGTGCAATTCACGAGATTATACTTTGAGGCCAATTTCGGATCTGATAATGTCCGAATTTGAGAATGTTTAAAACACGAAAGGTTTAGACATTTCTGTTGGCTGTCCGAAGCATCTTGAATCACTGGAATCGGACGTCAAACGAGAGAGATATGCTCCAAATACTGAGCACTGCTAGAGCTGTCAAATTGTGCGCAATTTCTGACTAATCCACAGAATATCGAGGTATCTAAATAATTGATTAGTGTGAATTATCAAATCTGGTATGCTCATCTTCTATGATGATTTTCTGCAATAGAATAATATTATTGCATTATTAGTTGAGATATATAATTAATGCATGGATTGATTCATTATCATGATAATATGACATTATTATATATTGAAACGGCTATGTGTGTTGGTCTCCATGAATGTCATAATTAAGGTGATAGAGTTGAATTGACAAAATGGTTATGTCTATCATTAGTAATTTATTAATTACTATTGATGTATCAAACACTAATTTTATAAATATGTTTTATCAATTTGGTAACATAAGAGTGCATTCATATACTGAAATTGGTGATATTGAGATATTATAATGTTTATTTACATGAAAGAAATTGCATGTTCAAACTTGCGTGATGTGGCGGTTTAGACTCTTTATGTTCTATTATTATTATTATTATTATTATTATTATTATTTTAAATTACATGTTTGACTAGTTGTACTAGTAATAATTTTGATTAATGTGTGATTAATTGCAATTAACCCTTGGTATTACCGTTTGTGCACTCTCCACGTACTGTTTATCTTTTGTGCACTTAACAGTCGATATAAATCGTTTGTGTGTGCATTTATAATAGAATAAATTATTTGGCCGTTGGGATATAATTAATTACTAGAAAATGTATTCTCATGTTCTTATGAATAATCAAATTTCATGTAATCGGTTATTTGTCTACTAATATTAGCACTGTGTGATTAATGTGATTAAATATTCAAGAAAATAAATTAAGAAATAATGGGTGCCATAGTAAACACACCTAATTGAGAAAATGAGGATGAT